TAGAAGTAGAAGTAGAAGTAGAATTATTTTCTTCTTCCTCCTCCACTCCTGTCTGGTGCATACTTCAATCATAGTGAAAAGCCACATACATAATAAAATTGGAAATTTTTTTTTTTAAAGAAAATTTAAATAAAAAATAAATAAAATAAAAATAAAATAAAATAAAAAAATTGTGATTTAAAAAAAAATTGGTCATTCACTCTACCCCTCTTACTAATAACCGTAGGACCAACGACCCGTAGGACCAACGACCCGTAGGACCAACGACCCGTAGGACTATAGATCGGTTCCCGAGCACACGAGCGATAATAATCGCCCGGCGTAAATAATCGCCCGAAAATATCTAACATTTTGGATACGGGCGATTCGATCGGGCGATTAAAATCGGCGTCGACGTGAACGGGCACACGGGCGAATTTTTCGAGCGATTTTAGAACTTGCGGCGATCGGGCGATAAAAATCGCTCGTGTGCCCCTACCTTAAAGAAAATCTTGCCCTATCAATAGGGCCCATTGTGCTCTACTTACCCCGTTTTACCCAATTTTAGTTCAAGTACTTCAACTCTTATTGTATATTTATTTAATATTTAACCGTTCTGTTGCTGTGAGACGGCCATGTGGAAGATAGGTCCGCGCCAATTTATTGTGTCTGTACCTAACATGTTTTACCGTCGTTAAATAAAGTTTTTACTTACTTACTTACTCAGTCAGTCACGGCACGTGGGGAAATCCAACAGTGAGGTCACACGGAGTCAGCTGATGCGAGTACGTACACGCGTAGACGGGATGGTTTCGGTAATGTGAGCTAGCATTCCGGTGGGCCAGCCATCAGGCTGGTGGAAGTACACATCGGCATTTCTTCAGTTTCCTCTTACTAGTTACGCGGGTAACTCTCGGGCTGATCTGTTTCACTTTTGTGCGCTGGCATGAAGTGGAATACACCATCACAGCTAACTCTGCTGAACTGATGTATTCATGGCAACTCGTACATAACTCGTCTGTTGTTCTGTGGTGTCGTCTGTGGTGGCAACTTGCACTCGCATAACTCTGCCGTTTCGTGCTAATTCGTTGCAAGTTCAGCGTTTACTCGGCCCTTTTTGATACCTGTCTGCGCTCGCGCATAATTGTTCTGTTGTTGCAAATTCATTCGTAATTTGGAATCTGCATGCTGTGTCCTCGACATCTCGTACATTGCGCATCAAACTTCTGGCTGTTGTTGCTATCTGCCTTAACCTCTGAACATTGCTTTCACTCACAATGATCGGTTGGCAGTGCGATTTAGGCAATGGTGAGCGCCTGTTAGCATTTACCATCCGCCTCAGTAAAGATATTGCAGTGCTTGTGTCGGTAAGCAGATATGGTGTTTGTGTTTACGGATACATCGGCCCTGCTAGCCGACAACCGTGAGAGACTCACGCAGCTGATTGAGAGAGGTGCACCAACGATGTGCTCGAGATTGCGTTTGCTCTACACGCAACGTTTATTGTTGGTAACCACAGTCGAGTGAAAAAAAGTCTGCAAAACTGTGCCAGCACTACTAATTGGTACTTTTTACAACGTGGTTGTCAGGCGTGTTTGTGTTTGCATATATAATAGAGTTGTACTGGTATATCACTGGTATTATTAACACGATATGCAGAAGGTTTATGTAATATGTTCTTGTTGACTGCATGTACTGTTGCTAGTACTAGTAGCTCGACTGTTGGTACATTTGTATCTGTATCTCTTAGAAGAATGACAGAAAACTAACACCACTCTGCACTGCAGGGACGTGAGTCTCCATTGTGTGTTGTAGTCGCTTTCTTTCTGTTTCTCGTGCGGTACTCCTCTTTGGGAAAGAGAAACAGAAAGACTTGGACGACCTACAGTTGGTGGACAAGTTACATCTGTATCTATTTTATGATCTATATATTTAAGCAGATCTATACAAAAATTATAATTATCATGACCCTAGTTCTAACCGTAAAAATTATCTCTAACAATAACATTAATCATAACCCTAACCCTAGCTCTATTTCTAACGGTGAACCCTAATGCTAAATTAATGCAATACCCTAAACACTAACCCTATCCTAACCAGGGGTAGAAATTAACTTTTGAACAAGGGAGTCCAACGGACTCCCTACCCTCAAAAAGAGGGAGTCCGCAGCAAAATGAGGGAGTCCGCAGTCTGAGGTTCAAAATTAAAGATATTAACAATAACGCATGTGCTAATTTTTAAGATTCATGCAGTTGCACGTCTGCCAAATTTTCTGTGGACATTAGCTGAAAAAATACAATAATTCCGCGAGGCCGTGCTTCGGAACAAACTATGGTTAGTATGGCAGAATTTTCAGGGAGTCACACGGACTCCTGCATATATGTCAAATCAGCGAGTCCGACAGTAAATCAGGGAGCATTTGACTCCGGACTCGATCCCGTTAATTTCGTACCCTGCTAACTGCAACCCTAATCCTTACTTTAACCTTAACTCTAACCGTATCCCTTCCATTATCCATAACCCTAACTAAACCTATAACCATAGCCCTAATCATTATCTTTAGCCCTAACCCGAATCATAATGCTTACCTTTAACCTTAGATCCATAAGCGGCCCCTAACTCTAATTCTCCCCATAAACTTTGAACCTAACCTTAATCCTTACACTAAACCCTAATTCTAATAAAAACTAATTCTAACAATAACCTAAACCCCAACCCTAACAATAAACATAACCCTAATCATTACTGTACACTCTAAAGTGCACTCTAAAGTACACTCTAAGTCTAACCCTAACAATATCCCTAACCTTAACCCTAGACTGTATCATAAACCCTGCCTTCATCATCGTTGTTGCCTTGCAGATACTGAAGGATTCAGCTAAGGCGCGGCGGGAGGTGGAGATGCACTGGTGTGCGTCAAGCTGTCCACACGTAGTTCGTATCTTCGACGTCTACGAGAATGTTTACAGTGGCAACCGCTGCCTCCTCATCATTATGGAACTGTGAGTAACCTTGTTTGTTCGTTCTCTCGCACATTGTTCCTTTGTTCTAGGATACGTGGTGGTGTGGGCTTCAACTACTGCATCATGAAACTGTGAGTCATACAAGGGCAGGAACACACGTATGTGAATATATATATGTAGGTTTTCCTTTCCGTTTGCAACCGGATGAAACTGTGCGTGCGCCAGCCGGCCAGCGAGCGCTGTTACAGAAGCCTGTTGTTGTTTTTTGTCGCAGTCGAGTGCCTGAGTCTCTCTCTCTCTCTCTCCCTCTCTCTCCTTCTCTCCCTCCCTCTCCCTCTCCCTCTCCCTCTCCCTCTCCCTCTCC